ATATATATATATATATATATATATATATATATATATATATATATATATATATATACACACCACAAGGTGAAGTAGGTATTGGTTATAAAAACATAATTGATTGATAATCCATGTATTATTGAGGAAATTAAATAATTATGGCCATTTCATTTATGTTTATTTTTTCAATCGTTAAAGGAATATCTTTTTTATATATAGCATTCTTATTATTATATTGGTGACATTAAAATAAGATGAACTTTTTTTCTTTTTATTTTAAATGTTAAAGTAAGATCCTTTTGTCTCTTCCTTTGTAATTTATTTGTTATATATGATAAAGTAAATTTCTGATCTTTATATAATAAACATTACACTAAGATCCTTTTGTTTCTTCATCTGTAATATATCCTGTAAATACTTGCAAAAAAACAGTACTAATTAGATCTTATAAAGGTTGTTTTATATCATCTGCCGACTGCATTGATAACGACAAGACAAAAACATCAAAGTTCAATATATTCAGACCAGTTGAATTATTTTATGTGATCACATTCTTGTTATCTGTTTTTTAATTGGAAATCATTTTGGTAAATTAATCGACAAGTTGGTTTAAACTAGAAGCAAATATGATTGGTTGGTGTCTTCGCATTTGTTTATTAATAACTTAACCAAAAAAGTATAACTGAAAGCAACTTATAAATAACTTAACCAAAAAAGTATTGTTTTTCTATTATAAAAAATGAGTGGTCTTAATTTCGTTTTGAATTTAATTACCTGGTTCTATATATGATTCCTAATCGTGTATTATATAATTAAGTGTATTCCTAATTTCTTTTTGGTTTCTTAAAACAAAGATTTTCTTAGAAAAACGAAATTCGATGTTCAAAACATTTACTTCTTTGATTGAAAACGTACTCATGGTCAAGAATCTTCTTGGGCAGGTCAAGTGAAGGTCCCATGGCAGTGGGAAAACTCGTCCTGGACAAGATCTCCGCAGCATCGGAGTTTCTGTTTTTCTCGTCTCCTTCTCTCCCTCCTGATGCTAGATGACTACATACAAAGCAGAAGCTTGTCTCATGGAACTGAAACCGAACTGAAACTGAACCCTGTAGGTATAACATATATCACCAAACCGAAAATATAAAACAAATAATCATGGATTCAAGTCTCAAATTAGATGGACGGGTATTTTTTTTATTGAATAACCTTACGGGTGTCAATATAAATGATTTAGTAACAAAGATTTTGCATTTTTTTAGTTATGAAAATCAGGATATATATGTCCATCTTAACATGATAAACGTGCATGGCTAAACCTATGTTATGAGTAATGACAAAATGCAAGTGTAGGGTAGTAAGCATGATAAAGGAGTAAGAATGAAGCTCTTTTAGCCATGCTTAATGGCATGCTTGAGCCACCTGAAGTATTTTTCCCGTGGAATTTGATGTGAAATTAATTCATAACTTGTGATCGACAATTAATTAAATTCCATAAAATGACTTATGGGGTGAGATGTCTATGGAAAGCAAAAGAAAATTTACCTTATTCCCTAGGCATCCCATGATGCCACACCCTACGCAAGAGACATTAGGGTTTCGGAAGAATGGATGAAGATCACTGCGAACCCAAACCGATATCAGTATGCCAACCATTTGTTTGCTGATGAGACATCGAAACTCTTGTCGGATCATTCTACTCTCAATAATTGATTTGTTTCCTTTTCTTCCACGAAAGGATTTCCATTGCTTGTCTACCAAACTATCGTCATTGTAAGATACGTTATGTGATTTCTTGTTTAGGCTTCTTCTGATCAATGAGTTCCATTTCATCGATATTTTCTTCTTATCTGATCCAAGAACATTAGAGGCTCTTAGAGGAACCACTTCTTGAAACCTTAAAAGCAGCATGCATGGATATTGGATTGTTAATTAGGGTATTGATTAATTCCATATATAAGACTGGTATATACAATTAATATATATATATATATATATATATATATATATATATATATATATATATATAATTGTGTATATGTATATAATCAAAATCAGTGTTTTACTTGTAAAAAGAGAATACCCAAGTACATATATATCGCATGGAGTGTTGCATGTATCTAGCAAATCATCGATATTCAAATCTTCGGTAGGTGCAACACCGCCAACGTTCCATGTACTAACGAAGACCCTTTTAAAAATTTAACAACAAAAAGTAACATAATTAATTATACAACTCTCAATCAAAACACATTTATTTCAATTATACAATTTTATGTATATGTATCTTAATTACTTGAACTTTTGTGTATCATCGTGGTCAGTAAAGATGATCTTCGGACTAGGGATGTGTTCAAGATCCAAAGTTGGAAGATTAAGAAAAGAATCTGTGTTTCCCGGAAAATCTGCAACGAAGTTGTTTGATCCCAGTGTTTTCCTTAGTAGCTTGCTTGCTACCAATCTTGGCCATGTAACCTTAAACACAACATAATGAATATATGTTATCTATGTAAATATACACATTTGCATGTTGAATTCGTGTGTGCATGAGAGAGAGAGAGAGAGAGAGAGAGAGAGAGAGAGAGAGAGAGAGAGA